GCATTCAAAGTTTTACAAAATCTTTCTGGTCCAATACAAGAGATCACATGGGCTTCTGTTTCTTGTTGGTGCATAGCTGAACATAAAACAGTAGCCCACGTAATCTCTTGTATTAGATATGCATACTCTACAAAGTTTGTAAAATTTTGAATGCTTAGTCACAATAGTTTGCATAAAAGTATTAATCATCAATATTTTCTCATTTTGGCCACAAAATTTGATTTCATATCTTTCTCTTGTAATTCTCTCTGGTTTTTGGGTTTATTTTGGACATACCTTCATTTACAACTACGTTGTTTTTGACCAGATATAATTCTTTTCTGTTGTACATTAGGTAAAAATAACCACAAAGGACATACTTTTGATACTCAGATATAGTTTGGAATAATTAGCATCAAGCACTTATTAAATTTGGAGACATTGTAATACAATTGATTGTTCTTCAATACTTCAGTAACTTTTAGTTCATATCTTTCAGTTACTTTATTTTTGTCCACACCTTTTTCAGCCAAGTTGTTTTTCAATGGACATCATGTTCCTTGTGTATTTTTATACAGTGATATTATAAAATATACCAGCTATGTGCCAGAAACAAAGGTATTTGCATACCCGAGAACATTTTTATTAGTTTGTAGTCTGATGCAAAGTAGTACACAAATATCATGTAAAAGTTTTTACATTATGGTGGTTTTGGGCTTATAAATTTCAGATTTCGCATCCAATTTTTATAATATTAAAAGTGGTCCACTTTTAAAAATACTATGTGGTAGAAAGCTTGCAATCAACTTATCCAATTTTTCTCTGGACAAGTGCAAAATTTTATAATATTTATAATGGGGTGAATATACTGATGGTTTAAAAACCTAAAGTTAATATCACACTGGATGTTGTGCAGTTTTGTTTTGTTAGCAAGACACACCACTGTGTGTCTTGATACCAAATACAATATACAGGGATACTGAAAAAACTTCAATAGGCATTTAGATATAGTAGTTTTACAAATGAAATTTTCAAACTGTATGATGGACAAAAGTACTTTTATTGTTGACGTGAAGATCACTTTACATTCAGACTTGTCTGATTCAGACTGACTTTGGCAATTCACAGACATATCTTTAGTACTAAAACTTTATTCACACATCAGACGATTTTGTTCTCAACAGACTTCTACTGTTGACTTAAAGCTTTCCACACAAACTTCATAAATTTGGCATTATAGTCAACATTATTTTTCCAATATAGGGTTGGTCCAATGATCCAACATCCTGTACATTCAGTTAATAAAGAACATTCGGTATCAGTAGCACTAATAAAGTAAATCTCTGTTTTCATAAAACTAAGGTGATATGTATGTCGTGTTACTTGAAAGCCCAATTTTATGAATTCCCCTAATGGACAGCGGTAAGTTTAAAGCCTTAACGCAAAAATTCTGGGTTTGATTCCCCGCGTTGGACCCAGCAGATAACCCAATGTGGCTTTTTATAAAATAAGCCCATTTTCTATATTTTCGCAGAGGTTTAGGGTTCATAAAAATTTCTTCATTCAAAAAAGGTTAATTTTAAAACGATGGACGAAAATATGGTAAAGGAGAGAAGTATAATAAATGAGAAGTTTTTATTGTTCATTAGAATCGCTAGAAGGTCTTTCAAGCATACAGAAATTGTAAACCATTAAATGAATCAGTTGTAAAACACTCTACTTACGACAGTGATTTTGTTTTCCATTTCTTGTTTATTTGTATCAAAAGTTAAGAATTTTTTTGTTTTTTTATGTATAAAATAACAAATAATTAAAATAATTGCACCATAATTGCCTGCCTCTATTAGACTGTAGGTCTATAATTCTAACAAAATTGGGCAAAACACGGATAGTCCATTATGAAGCTTTGAGCAACAAACAAACCTATAGATACCAGTTATACAGTAGCGCTACCTCGTTGATATAGGTCAGTTTTACAATAACATTATTTGATTTTTCTAAAATCAAGGAGATTATTAAACTAACGTAAAAGTTGTAAGGCGATAGGTACTAGAGTAGTTTTCATTTTTTTATACATAAATTCAAATAATTACTTCACATTTTAGTTGTAGCACGCCACTGCTTACAATTATAAGTAAGGTAATAATTTAGGTTTTTCGTTTGTGAATAAAATGGCCAGTTTTACTACCAGTTCACTGCTGCAAAAATACAGAAACAAATGGTACGCGAGGGCAACGCGGTCAGTATACTCGTAGTCTGAAAGTTGCGAGTTCCGTAGCTTGCTTGCCGTAATGTTCTTGTTGTCCTTGAGCAAGATACTTTACCCCAGTTGTTTCAGAGTACCCAGCTGTATAAGAGATAGTTGGAGGTTAACCTGCAATGCACAGACATTCTGTCCAAGGGGAATTCAATTTTATTCATGTACTAGTTAATGCAATATTTTTTAAATAATTAATACTTTTTACAACAACCAATCTACAACATGAAAAGACATACAGAAAGAAAGTGCTCATATAAAGCACATTCCATCTAGTAGATTCGCGTCTCGTTCCGCTGAAAGCAAAAACTGCGCTCGGCACTTAGGAACAGAGCAGAATTATTAGAGTGACAGTCAAATCGCACTATTCGATCAGATTATCCCACGAAATGGCAGTGGGTGCTATTGACCTGCTGCTTTACCCCTATTCCATCTCCTCAAAATTAGCACAGAAAGCTGTCGAGTAGAAATTCAAGAAACAGACAAAACAAAGATACGTTTACTGTAAAAAGGTGAATACGGCAACTTCAAGCTCTAACGTAGAAGCTAAGCCACAAATCCAGACCATGTGGGAAATATTGGGGCACTTTTTGTATTAGTTGTATATAGTGTATAGTTTCAGCTTTTTACCATCACCAGTCATACACACAAGAAATATAAAACGTGTTTATTATCTATATCATAAGATTCAGTGTCTGTCTGTGTGTCCAAACCACTAGTGGCGCCGACTTCTAAATAGTACCAAACGAATCGTCTCGGACCCGATGTTTGCACAAAAGTAAAATGCCTTACTCAACCCCCCTTAGGGAATCTGGGCATTTCGCGAAATCACTTTTACGGGGAGTACCTGATAGCGGATCCCAAGTTTGATATTAGTTTACATTAGAGCACGTAAATAAATAGGCCTACTAATTACCGTTCGTAACTTGGTTAAAGAAATTAAATTTGCATTATAGCGGCCTTGTAAATGTGGACTGTAGGGTTCGCTAGTCCATACATAGAGTATAGATTTTAAATGTT